GACCGGTGAAAGCTATCGCTGATTTCAACCCTGTAGCCCGCAGAACACCACGTCATCTAGGAGGTGTGAAGCGTCAGTGACAAGAGTTTGCTACCAACCCTCACAAGGCGTACTTTGATATCCTTACAGCTACTCCTCCGTCTTGAAATGCGTTCAAGGGCGTCAACTACAACCTATCAGATTGGGCTGCGTGATTAAGGCGTTAAATGTATGTGAATACCGAAAATGGGAGTTCTGAAATAATCACATAAATTGCCTAAAGTATGAATTTTATTTGGCGTTCCGATTAGACAGCCAAAGAGTGGCGAATCGAAGTAAAGTTACACAAAATAATAAGAATTTTCACGCACGGAGAGACAAAAAAATGTACCCACTGTTAATGAGAACCAGAAAAAGAAGAAAGAAATGCCCTTAGAGATCCATAAGTGAGGTTATGGATGAACCGCCTTCTCAAATCAGTCGCCACGTGGAGGCTTCAGGAGATCGTGGATAATTTCGGCGTAATGCGGTCCAAAAACGTGTCGATTGTGTGCCACGAGAGGCATCAAGCGCGAAGCAATCAGAGCGAGATCGTAGACTCGTGAGAGGTCAGCAGTTGCCAAGGCGGAGGGGGCCGAAGCAGAGCCCACGGAAACGGCACTAGGAATGACAGGATCAGCGTCTCCATCCATGTCTACTCGTAGTTTCAGCGAGGGCTTTTCCATCGCACACACACTTGGATCCAACGGCACGGAGGGTTGACAGGCTGGAGTTGTTGTAGTGCTTTCTGAGAGTGCTCCAAATCCTGTTGGAAGTGGAATAGGGTCTGGTGGTCGTGCGGATAGTGCGGAACGCAGAAAGTCGACAGCTCGAGAAACTGCAGTGCATAAGATGGACATACTAATGAAATTTCAGTAACAACTACCTTACCATGAAAAAGGTAGGACTCACACATCAGTTTGTAGACAGGATGCTCCATTTGGAGGACCGCATTAATCTGGCTCGTGATTTGTTCCTTGAAGGGTTCAGGAAGGCAGTTGTCAGGGTTGACTGGACACAAACTCTCACTGGTGACAGAGGCTTTAAATGCACTGTCTTTCTCACAGAGCGATTTTCGCCAATTTTCAATAACCAATAGCATGCGGAGGTTGAGCACTTCTGCAAGTTGCGGAATTTTGCTGAAAAAAGCCAAACATTCAATTGGTCGATCATTTCAACCAATGAGATTTTAAACTCGCCAGGCAGGGAGAAATCTGGCCAATGCCACTCAGGCGCGCCTTAAAGCACATAACTCACGTGTAAGCAATACCTAGTAAGTGAGAGCTTGAAGGTCAAATGGATCCAAATTCACTCATACAAGTGACCTTGAGTTTCGTTTGCATAGCTATGAAGGCAGATTATTGAAATTGTTTGAAAACCTTGTGTCAGAGAAATTCTCAAGTGGCAACGTTCTGGACACAATCACCCGTCACATCTATACGAACAGTTTACCCACATTTCCCAAACTCCATGTTAAGTTGAATCTTAAAATGGTGAGCCAAGCTGAAGTTGTTGGTGCCAAATGCTCGCAAGGGGACACCAAAGGAGAAGGATAAGGAGT